GATTTTCAACTGAAGGGTACTAGGGTTCATAAGGGGACTTATGGGAAATGGAGGCAGCTTAAAATGCCGCAGAGGGTTTATGGGGATGAATAGCTACAATCTGCAGTTCATTACCTGCAAGGGGAAAAGAGAAGATTACTGAATCACTTACACTTCTGTTTCTCTCTCGTTCTCTCTCCCCATCCCTCGCCGGCTTGTGAGGGAATGCTGGGAATAAGGTATGTTTGGAAGCAATTGTATGTTCTAGTTTGGATTCATATCAGTAAGTCTCTGGCTTTTCATTTGCCTTTAGAAACTACATGTCTCTTTGAGTCTGCAGTGTGATGGGTGTGATTTGCATCTCAGTGACGGGAGCATTTTGAATCTCAATACCATCTGTAGAGGAGAGAGACTATAGAAACCATTTATCAAACCTGAGATAAAGGCACCACAACACGCATTATACACATCTTGTCTGAGGTCACACACACCCACACATGCACCTATTGTGCTCAGACAATGCCATTATACCGCAAGTTATCTGGTGGAAACTTTGTTTGGAACGAGGAGTTTTAAATCGAAGCCTGTGTCGCCTGAATAATGGCTGATCATGGCAACAGGCCCACAACTATTTCTGTCAAGAACCTTACAACTGTGTCACCGCCTCCCACTCCCCATATCTTTCTCACCCTCTCTCGTTCTGCCCAGGAGGGTTTTTCCAGAGCATATTGTCTATAAAATGGGTCAGGATGGGACCGGCTCTATTTTTATCTTGAAACCATTTTCTTAACTTCACAACAGGTATATCACAGATCTCGATGCCCACACAACCCCCTCTACTGTAGACCAATAGCATGGAGGTTCCCTCAGCAGTCCGTTCCCCATCGCTCTCCAGGGCTACTGTGCCAAGCGCATACACACACACACACACAGCTAGTGCCTGGATAATTAAACATGCAGAACAATGAAGGCTCCAGAAAAGCTTTTAGCTCAGTGCTAATCTCTGTATGGTTGGAACTTTGAAATGGAATAGTTTAGCCAGTAATGTAAATTCTATCATCATTCACTCATCCTCATGTTGTTCCAAACCATGAGACTTTCTTTCTTTTGTGGAAAACAAAAGGATATGTTTTCGAACTGCTCTTTTCCATGCAATGAAAATGGGTGGTGTTTTATACTGTAAAAATACTTTAAATATCTCCTTTTGTTTCCAGTAGAAGAAATAAAATCTAATATGTGAAATGATTATGACAGAATTGACCCTTCGCATTTTCATAAACCATTCAGGGTTTTTTTTTGTGAACCATTTGATCAATTAACAGAAAATAATCAAATAACGATTTGTTTGCAAGTAGGTTTTGCTTAACACAAGAGAAATACTTGGCTGCTGAAATATTTTGGATCATGAATATTAAGATTCCATTAAGTTACTTTTCCAGACATTTTCTATTTTTCTTTTCCTTTTTTCTCCCAGGCCTTTCTGTGTTATAATGTTTCTATTTCATTAAACAGAGCAGATTAAACTAATATATTAAAATTAAATCTATTAAATTATGTGATATCTAATTACATTAGTGGATGCAAATAACCATAATAGACCATTTTCATCAGATTTTGAT